TTTAAAGTATTGTGATATTCTATGATGATACTGTCCCTTAGTTCTGAATAGTACTATTTTCTATTTTTAATATAAGAGTTATATAACTAATTTATCAATGTTAAAAAAATTAGTTAAATTAATTATTTGTAAGAAATGAGTGTTGTTTTCCCTAAAATTCTTGTTAATTATGTGTTTTACAATAAAAGCATTTTAACATAAACAGTCACAAAAGGAATTACTTTGAAAAAAATAAATACAAGAGATAAACTAGATTAGAGTCTCATATTTAAAAATAAATTGAATCTTTAACTAGTTCTTATATTTAAAATAAAAAATAGTACTTGCTACGGAGTTAGTCTCTTGTTTTTGTCTGTAATTACTAATTAGCCATGGATGCTAATCATGCGAGTAATGCGGCATGGGCGCTGCAACTTTCACCTCAATTTCAATTCATAAACTACAGTTGGGGAAGAAGACAATTTTATAAAAGTTATTTCAAATTTTTATTATTTAAAAATATGATTTAAATATATTATATATAAGAACAATACTTAAATCAAGTTCTTTATATCTGTTATGTTAGGTTTTCCAACCATCTATGATCATATGTTCTATTTTTAAAATATTAATACTTAATAACATTTAATTATAAACTCATATAAAAAGTAAGACATATGATCAAAAAACTTGATATCACGGATATATAGAATTTGGTCTAAATATTTTTCAATAAAAGCACAGCAATATCAATTTTCATTGGGTTGATTATACTCCTCTGGTCCTATTTATAGGACAGAGAGAGAAAATTTTTTCTTTTATTCTATTTATAAGTCATTTCATTAAATTTTTAGTGTGAATATACTATGTTGTCTTTCATTTATTATGGTGTAGGTAAATATGGGTAGAGTTGAAAGATTATTACATTTTAATGGAAAATTAATGTATTTTAAGATTTTTCTTAACCTGTGTGAAATATACTAAAAGTATCTTATAAATAGAATCAGAGTAGTATTTTAACCAGCCCTTTTCCAACCCACCTATAAGCAGGATAGATAAGCAATAAGTAACTCGCAAGTGCTTAACTAAAAGGGTGTTTGACAACCTCCAAATCATGGTTTCAGAAGTACTTTTTTGTAAAACGAGACAAATTCCTCTACATATTTACTTCGTAAGCCGTAAAAACACCTCTGAAACTATAATCTGGTTTCTATCCAAACACCCCCTAAGTCGTACCTCACAATCGAAATTTTTTTTTTGGGCCAGCCTCCCAATCCAACTTCTGATTCTTAAGTAGGGCGGACTAAAAACCCAACTAAAGAAGCCTAAATTCTCAAAACGTGTTTCTAGTCAAATAAACAGAGCATGACACATTATCCGCAATAATTTCAGTGGAAAGTTCACTTGGAAATTCGAGACATTATTTTAAGGATGACATTTTTGGATTCTATTTCGAATTGTATGGTGCGGAGCTTTGGGATCATGTACCCATAATGGCGGAAGTGTAATGCGGGGAAATTGACAGAACGTTAATAATGTTTCATCATGACAGTATTAATTTAAAAATATTGCATAGGAAAAAAAAAACAGCAAATTATATCAAGTTTAGAGACTGCGACGGGTCAAAAGAATATCCCGGTATATTCCCAAGAGCTGTTTTGTTTACAGCACTAATTTTTGTTATTAAAAAAAAGAAGAAACTAAGCTCAGAGAACGTTTATAAACTGCCCACCAATAAAATTCTCACATTAACTGTGGGGTTTGAACTTACGGTTTTATGAATTATGAGCCAGCTCCTTATCAATTAGACCAACTCCTGTTAATTACTTTTTTTCAATCTAATATCGCTAATTAAATATTAACTGTGAAACACCCTAACTACTAATTAACCAAACTCCTCTAATAATTTTTATTGAGGGTAATTTAATATTAAAAAAATAACTAATTTAAATTAATTTTATTAATTTAAGTAAAGTTGTTATTAAGTGTTTAGCAAGCATACATTACGATATCAATATTACAATTGATTATCGCTGGTGATTAAACTAGAGGGCTGTTTATATTTTTTTTTCAAAATTAAAATTATATCAATTTTAAATTTATAAGTGTAAAATCCCGTATCCATTTTAGACTTGTTTTAAAATAAGCTGTAGCTCGCTAGGCATGCTTAATTAACCTAATCCAAGAAACTGAAGAAAGCAGCGGGTTTGGATTATCTGTGATGATCATGTCTTCGATTTATCAAGGTGATTTTAGAAATTTACGAATTTCAGGGGCAAGTAATAATATTTTTAAATGATGCCTTTTGCATTAAATAATAGACATTCTAATCCTTTCAGAGAATATTAATTTATAATTTTCAAAAATTATAAAATATGTTATGAATTATTGAAATTAACCACAAAAAAGTGTCAAAGTTCTGTTTGGTTCAATGAAAAAAAATGAAGGAAGAGATTTTAATAAAGGGAAGATGAGAGAAAAAGAATGAAATGATTTTAATATTACCTCGTTTGGATTTATTAAAAAACAGTGGAAGGGAGGAGTTCGAATGTTATTTTATTTGGTTCATGAAGGGAGGAGAGGGAAAATATTTTATATAGACAACTTTGCTCTTATTTTATTTAAGATTATTTTTTCAAATTTTATGGAATATTTAATAAAATAGAATTATAAACAACATTTAATATATAATTATACTCTATAGTTTTGTTCTGTGAACAAAAATTATATTTTATGATTATACTTACAATATATAACAATAATAATTATATGTTTCAATTTTTATCCGTTTGTTATTTTATTGGTTTTTGATCGAACTCTTTAAAATATGGCATGGATAATTCGTTTGTTATTTTATTGGCTTTACCTTTGAGTGGGGAAGGAGAGAGTAGTGTTTGGAGAGAAGAAAAAAAGGGTTTGGAATGATACAGGGTTATTGAAAATAAACATAGGTATAATGATAATAATATGACAAAATTTAGAAATTTTTTTCTTCCCTCATAAAATTTTTAAGTTGTCAAACAAAAGAAAATGATCAAAATCTTTTCTCCTCCCTTCCCTCCCTTTCAAATCCTTCATGCCAAACACAACGTTAAACATGATCAATGAAAATTTGGCCACCGTGATACCGCATAATCTCTTTTTTTTTTTTTAAGTCCCTTTAACACTACAGAACCTCACAAGGAGGCACAAACTCTAAACAGATTTTGAGTGTTCCACTAAAGTTGATTTATTTAATCTGTCATTTGACATTTTTCAAATGAAGGCTATGGCTTAAGCATAGGCAGAGCAATTGGAGTTTTGAATTTTGATCAACCCCATTTCTCTCGGGGAAAAGTTCCTCCAGGGTGGGTGGCGCTTTGTATGTTGTGGATATGGTATTACCATTTGCATTGTGGATGTGTATTTTGCCAGTCATTGGGCTTGGGCTCTTTCGGCTGCGGCGGTACAGCTGGACTGCTTATGATTTAAATGTTGATGGAAGTTACCGGGGGGGGGGGGGGAGCAGAAGGATGGAACTATTACTGCTTCTAGTTTAAAAACAATGTTTGATCTAGCAAAATAAACTAGTTTTTTACAAGATAACGAACTAATATTCAAATTTTTGTTAGAAACGATGCTTACTTTTAGTATACTCTATAGTATCTCAAATAGATTACTTTTCATAAGAGATTACCTATGTGTAGTAAGAAAAAGTAGACTTATAATTAGGTATTGTTGTCGAATACTTGGATTCACTCCAACTTTTGGTAAGTGTAGTGCCTTTGCAGCTAAGAAGTGAGCCGTTTCTAAAGTCTTAAGATTAGATTGGGACTTATAATTTGGGAAAATATTCTTAAATAAGGTGCCAAGAATGGGACATGATGCCCTAAAATAGAAGTCAAATAGGTGATAATATAGTATTTTTCCAGATTCAAAGCATGATGAAATTTGAATGGCAATTGCACAATACTTTTAGAGAGCAAAACAGAGGTGCTGATTCTCTTGTAAAGATGGGATTATCAAGTTTTTCCCTTTTAGATTGTTGTTATTCTCAAACTAAAACCCTTGTTATTTTGTTAATGAAGATTGTATGGGATTGAATCCCCTTTTATTAGTTAGTTTCAAGCGGTAGGGAGTTGTCTTGTTTTTTGTCCCAAAAAAAGCATGGGAAAAATTGCAACAAGGTCCCACCTAAAAGAATTGAATATAAAAAGGTATTTTAAAATCATCAAATTATTTTGAAGTCTCGAAAGACTTCATTGTAAGAAATTTTATTTATTTAATTATCAAATCACCCTTATTTTTTTTAAGTATGTATTGACAACAAAAAATGTGGTGGTTAACAACTTAAGATATAACGATTAATAACTATCACTGCAATAGTTATTAACTATTACACCTTAACTTATTAACGTCTACTTTTTAATTGTTACTGCATACTTAAAAAAAGTAATTTGGTAATTAAATAAATGAGATCTCTTATAATGAGATCTTTTGAGATTTCAGAATAATTTGATGATTTTAAGATATCTTTTTGTATTTAATTTTCTTGGGTGGGATCTTATTGTAATTTTTTCAAAAAATGCATGATTTTGTCATGACTATTTATGATTTGCATTGATAAAATGATAAAATTAATGTCAATGTTGGCATTAATATATGATTATAAATTTATAAATGCAAGATAGATATAACCAAACTATGATTTTAAAACTGTTTTTACGGTTTAAAAAAAGTACTTCTGAGGTTGGCAAACATCACCATAAATTAGCAAGAAAAGGGTTATTTGCCTTCTCTATTCAGTAGCATTCCATCCTATCCTAATGGTATTTGAAAATAGAATATACCGCCAATTCCAGCGGCAACCGGGACGTGTCATATTTTGATTGGCCAATGGGTGAAACACTATATAGTGAGTAATCACTCCGGAACCGTGCCACACGTTTCGTTTTTTACCTCCCCATTTGGCCAATGTTGTCGTATGCTAACATTTTCGTTTTTAAAACGTGTTTCTGCCTCTGGGTCATCAAATTTGAAACCATTCAATTTTCATTACAAAACCCTCTAGAAAGCCAACCGCGCCTCTAGAAATACACACTCTTCTCTCTTCAGGTTTGGACCATCTGCGTTGATCTCACGCCTAAATTCTTATTTCTTCCTCTCTTTCTCTCTCTTCCTACATTTGAATCCGGATCCTGCGCTTTCGAGTCCCGCCACAAACCCTATTCCTATTTCTCTCTCTTCTCTCTCCAATCCATTTCTTCCTTCGCTCTAGATTTTCTGTTTTCCGTCCTACAACTGTGCGGACAATGAGGAAAGGAACTAAGAGGAAGATGAGGCAGAAGGAAGAATCTTCCCAACCAGAGGAAGCCAACAAGAAGCAATCAACAAAGACAACTCGAGCTAAACGAGCTAGGACCTCCAAGCCAGAGACCGAACCAGAATACTTCGAGGATCAGCGCAACTTGGTACATCGTAGTTGCTAACTATTAATCTGTGTATTTCGGATTCCTGTTGAACATGCTTCGACTTTGATTTGGCTCTTTATCTTGTATGCGCACATTGGAGATTATTGGATTTTTTTAGGTCTTTTTTTGGTTGTTTATTTTTACTACTATTAGTATTATTATTATTTTTATTTTTATCCAAATGTGTTATCTGGCATTGCCTATATGATGTACGATGCTGTTAATCGTTGAAACCAAGTTTCTAACTGAAGGTCATTCAGTTGGATGATATTGATGTTAGCTGAACCTTGAAGAAGCGCTAGATGGTGGTTACTGAGGCTATGATTTATTTTAGCTTTGCGTCATTGTGCTCTGTATTCGAATGTGGTATCAAAAACGAAGAGGTCAATTATAGCTTAGCTCTCCTTTATCTATTAAAGCTGTGTCAACTTCGTCTTCCTGGTAAACAAGTGTTTAGGCCTATTGATGTCAGCAGACAACTGAACCTTGACTATAGCTTTTTGGGCTATTTCCATTGATGGAGCACGCAGCTGTTTTCAGAATGGATATATAGTTCTAATGTTTCTATTCTCTTAAAAAATGTTGTAGATTTACTGAGTTCCTGAGCTATTGAATGTTTTTTATACTACCATCGTTCAGGTTTTAGCTTACTGCTTTCATATAGGAAGTTGATAACTGCAGTGAGAAATGTTGTGAACTCTCATGTTTCCAATAGATAAGGAGCTGGGGCATGTTTCTAATGGGTGAAAGTATTCTTTTGATGTTATTTTGACCTTGATAATCACTTTTTTGTTGTTTTTGTCAATATTCATTGCGCAGGAAGACTTATGGAAGGAAACATTCCCTGTTGGAACAGAGGTTTGTAAACTATGTAGCTTTTCTTATTAGACATATTGATAATTGTTCCCTATTTTTCTTACCGCCTTATATAATCTAATGCCAGTGGGACCAATTGGATTCTGTCTATCAATTCAAGTGGAATTTCTCCAATCTAGAAGTGAGAAACTAGCTCATCTTTTCCTCTTAGAATTTAATTGATTGTTGATTTTTTGTTGAAGTTTAAACTTATTCTTATGAAGTTAACTTTATTAAGAATGACTGATAAAATGGTCAAATGTGTTCAGAATGCATTTGACGAGGGTGGAGCTCTGCATGGTAAAAAGGTTTATCTCTTTGGTTGCACTGAACGTAAGTAGCTTGCAAGCTTCAAATTTTCATCATCTTAAAAGCTGGCAACTTGATTCCAAGCCAATTCCTCTTATATACTCATGATTACTACATCCAAACATCCTATCCGTTTTAATATATGCAGCTCAACTGGTCCCATATAAAGGTGAAAACAAAGTCATCTGCATACCTGTTGTGGTGGCTGTAAGTTGTCTCACTCTGTTCTTTTTGCCTCTGTACAGATAAGGAAATATGTGGTGGTTAATTGATTACTGTTTGAGATTTTTGTTGAATTAAAATTGTTTGATCTTGAAAATGTGTAATTATATCTGCGTGCTTGCCATGAGATTTTTCCCTTCCCTTTTTCCCGGTAGTTTTTATTTGGCTTAGACTAAAAATTAGTAATGCTTAAATGTTTGGGTGCTATATTGTCATTTTGAAATGATATTACTTCTATCATGCCTCATTAGTGTCGCTTGTAAATATGTCAAACCTGACAGTTTGGAATTTTAATTTATCCATTTTTTTTAAATAATATTTTTAATTGCCTCTTGTATATAGGTTGTATCACCTTTTCCACCATCTGATAAAATTGGGATTAATTCGGTTCAAAGGGAGTCTGAAGAAATTATTCCTATGAAACAAATGAAAATGGACTGGGTTCCATATATCCCATTAGAGGATCGGTAACCATCCCATTTGGCCCTTTCTTTTGAGACTTTCTTATTAAACAGTGCTCTTTGGTCATTTCTGAATCCTAATATTTATAGTTGATGGTTTAATGACTTCAACAGAGAAAGTCAAGTTGATAGAGTAAAGTCCCAAATATATATCTTGAGATGCACCCAAAGAAGGTATTGCCTTCCATCTGCCTCTTTTTCTTGCTGTTGAATGATAAGTCTGTTCCATGCTTTCTGGTCCCATTAGTATTGCAGTTTCATAGAAAGTGTTGATGCATTTTAAGTTAACACTATCTTTTGTTGTTGTTGTTGTTTTTTTTTTTTTTAAATATGATTTTTTTGCCCCTTCTCTCATTTGTTAAGTGTTTTGCGTTGAGAAACATTCTCCTTCACATTGCAAGGTTATTGGCCAATTTTCCCCCCCTTGGTAAAATAGCCGCTATTGTTTATCATTTTCAGGTGCTGAATTTTATGAGCTATTTGTCGCCTTTTTTCTTGTTCTATTTGCTTCTCACGCCATGTTCCTCCACTATTTACCTTCAACTTTCTGCATGCTCATCTGATGTTCAGTTTCATTTCTGGTGAATTAGATGATTCTTTTTCAAGAGAAACTAGTGGGGGAAGTGGGTGCAAGTATTTTGGATTTGAAAATGCTCGTGTGTGATCTTTTCTTAACCTTGCTATTAGGTTGCCCAGTTAAAAAATGACAGGTTTATGGTTATCTATCAATATCATGAGACGTCTAGTACGGTTTTTAGTTAAATCATACAATTATCGTGCTATTGTTGGAGACCCATACACTTTTCATATTTTAACTGATGAAGCTCACCTCAAAACTTCCAAAGCCTTATCCTACTAGAATGAGGTTGGCTAAAGCTTACCATACATTTATCATTTTAATTGAGGAACCTGATAGCAAAGAGATGAGGGGCTGCAGCTAAGTCTAATCGTTCTGGAATATACTTGATGTTTGCAGTGCATATCTGTCAGCGCAATTTTTTTCAAAATTGTTTAACTGATTCAACCTTAATTTTTTGACATAGCAATATGTTAATGACGGAATTGTGTTTCTTATTCTCCTTGCTTTAATACTTTAGATGATGAAATAGATTCCACCTTCCACAATTTCAAGTAAAATTTAATGACTTTAGAACCCACAGCAAATTATTTTGATATTTGGAGAGTAAATGTTAGGGTTCTATCCTATGAAATGAACATGTGTGGATTGGCTAATATTAAGTGGAAATGTTAAGAAATACAACAATTACGGAAGTTGTAGCACTTTGTTATTTTCTACCATATGAAAAAGTGTTCAGTTACCTGGTTTCATGTGCACAGCTTGATGAAATTTATTATTTTTATCTTTTATCGTATTAGTTGTTGGAATTAGCATCATAAGATTTCCCATTGATACACTTTTGAGCCTTGATATGCATATTTATGTTTATGAAGATACTTGTATTTTATCAGTGATTAATCTATGTTATGCAGGTCTGCTTTAAAGCATCTGAAGTTGGACCGGCTGAAGAAATATGAGTACTGCTTACCTTGTGAGTCTCCTGTCTTTAGAATATTGTAATTTAACTGTCAATATGAATGTGTATCGAGTTGTATCTAATATCAGGGAAAAGCAAACCATTTCATATTCTAGCCATTACTACGAGATTGGATTAATGCATCAAGTAATGTCTTTATTAGATTGTACGGACTGTTATTTGATTGATGGTTGATGTTAATTATTGGCACTTAATATTGTTAATAGTAGATTCATGATTATCATCAGTTGCTGGTAATGCATTTATTCAGATAGTTATATGTGACACCTATGCAATTTACAGATTTCTACCAGCCTTTTAAGGAAGATGAACTTGAACAGAGCACTGAGGTTCAGATTATTTTTCCTGGAGAGCCAAAGCCGGTATATGTGGTGAACACTTGGATGGATTTGTTCTACATCTGGTTTTCAAGAGTTTACCTATTTTTTCTTTGATGCAGGTGTTCTGTGAATTTGATTGGGAGTTAGATGAGCTTGAGGTAATAAATTAATTCAGTATCGTTTGTAATTTAGAAAATGTCAGATGAAGCAGCTTAGAAGTGGTAGTTTGGATCCTTTTTGTTTTCCCAAACTATTGATCATGTACGTCCGCTTTTCACAATATGTGGCATTATTCTGGAGGAATTTCAATTTTTTTTTCTTATCATTTGGTGATCATTTATGCTTAATCTAACTGGCAGCCTGTTAGTACTGAGTTCTGAAGACCTTTAGCTTCTATTTTTACCTGCTCTGTCTATATTTCTGCACCTTATGGCTTGTAATGAATACATAGGAATAAAATATTTAAATTTGGAAAATTAAATGACTTTAGGCAAGGAACTCATGTTCTAATTTATGCTATGCTCTATAGGAGTTCACAGATAAGCTCATAGAGGAGGAGGAATTATCAGAAGATCAAAAGGATGCCTTCAAAGTAAGTAGTAGTTGAACAGATATGATATATTCATGCTTTTCATATGTTTAAAGCATCAAGGTATGCTGATCCTTTTATGGTTATAGGAATTTGTAAAGGAAAAAGTTCGAGAAGCAAAGAAAGCAAATAGAGAGGTACTGTGGTTGTTGCAATTGGTTCTGCACATCTAGGGTGTCTTTCTGCTATCTTACCTAGTTCTTTTCTTGTAGGCAAGGGAAGCTCGTAAGAAAGCCATTGCGGAAATGAGTGAAGAAACTAAAGCTGCATTTGAAAGTATGAGATTTTACAAGTTCTACCCTGTTCAAACACCAGATACACCCGATGTTTCTAATGTTAAGGTAGGTCCTTGGACATTCTTACAATACTTTGGGATTTCAAAATTTTCCAACATTAGTGTGAGATATACCTAATGTGAACATTTCAACTTTTAGAGTTAACACATTTGTTTATGCCCTGAGAATTATTAGGGTATGTTTGGATTGGCGTTCGGCAAAATTGACTTCTAACCCAACTGACTTTTGTAACAAAAGTTAGAGTAAAAGTCAGTTAGTGTAATGCGGTTTATGTCTGGATAAGTGCTTTTAAAAAGTCAGTTGAAAAAGTTAAAAGTTGTTTGGATGATTAATAGAAAAGTTAGTTTAGTTGTAAAATGACTGAAAAGGGCATTGAGTAGTGTTTGAAATTTTATGTTTTTAATGTGATAATAGTTTAAAAAAACACGTAAAATTATTATGATAAATATAAATAGTTTATTTGTGAAATTATAAAATAAAATATTTGTTATGGAGAAAATTTGAAAATACATTGTAAATAATTAATTAAATATACATAATAGACAAACATGAATATAAATTAAAATTCATTTGGTCTCTAATTAAAGTAAATGGAATCACATAACTAATTAGATCGTAAGCTTTGTACAATTTTCCTATAAGTCAGTTAGAAAAGTTGATCTAGATTGTGTTGGATAAGTCAGTTAGAAAAGTTACTTTTTTCTATAAGTCAATTAGAAAAGAAGCCCCATCCAAACAATTTTCTGAGCCACAATAAGCCACAAACCTTAGTTTCACGCTTCCCCGTGTGCTTTTACTATCTGCAATGGCAATCCAAACGAGGCCTTAGTCTTTTTCTTTCTTTTCCCCCCCTAAGTAATAAAATTGATAGTTTCTGTCATAGCAATAACAAGCTATAGTTCTATCTATTCGATTGGATGGGGATGCTCTGAGTTTAATCGAGAATTTTGAGAGTCAATTTCCTAGTCCCGGCCATAAAACTGTAACATAGCCTTGCATCTATGGCTTATGTGAGGTCATTTTAGTAGCCCAAACACTTTGCTTCATCTCTGGTCATCTTCCACTTTCAAGTCCATCAAAATTGCCACTTCTATAATTGGAAGACCTAACCGAGACCACCCAAAAAAATGGGATGTACAACGCCTCCTCTTTCAGAACACTTCTGAACTTTTGATCATTTGATGAACTAAGAGGGAAAAACTAATTATTTGCTTATTGCGTTGGTTTCATTGGATTCATCCAAAATTGGATCCTCAAGCTCTTGATCGCAATGAAGCTTCTTGCTCTTGATCGCAATGAAGCTTCTTAACTCAGTCTTCTTCAGTTGGAACACAAATCACAATCCCCAACTTCCAACTTATACCTTCCATTAATGCCTCCACAACATAACGCATAGTTCTTAATTTTTTTTAAAAATAAAATTTAAATATGAACAACTAATACACATTTATAACCAAACATTTTGAAAAAATTATTCTCAACAACAGAATAAATATCCATAAATCACAATATTGAACGCTTGAATTATGAAATAAATCAGCGCTTAGCAAATTCTGAGTCTAAGATTTATTCCGAGATATATATATATATATATATATTTGTAAGATAATTCCTTTTCTTCATGAAATCCAATGTCATCATAATGATGATCATCAAGAAAACCTTCAGTCCCCTCTTTATGTTATAATGTTCTCCATTTGTACGGCTAGTAGCATGTCATGAGCATTTGAATTGGAGGATGACATCGCCCTCTTCTTATGCTCTTGGTATGGTTGATGAAAATTAAATACATCAATGTTGATTGTCCAAGAATGAGTCAGATGTCTGACCTTTGCACATCACTTCAATTAGAGCTACTGATGATTATGTGTCTGGTTGTAGTGACCAGACAAACTCAACTCATTCTGTCAAACTGTAGCAAATCTATATAAGGTTGCATCGCCACTGGTGCTATTGCACAAGCAATAGCATGCTGGAAGAATACTTGGGTGTAAATGTAGCATTTGGAGCTGTATTCTTCCCTCTTCACCAGTTGATATGGTGAAGAGAAAGCTAGGCTCTTGATAGGAGAATAAAAAATTAAAGGAAAAGCTCAATTATTAAGTTTCTGTAAAGTTTACATAGAGTGCCAAAAATCAAGACTAACAGATTGCCAAAAATCGAGACCAAGTACCAGTTGGCCCATTTTCTTGACGTAAATTTTGTAAACATGTTACAAATTAAATTGCAATTTTGACAGCCATATAATATAGGAAAAAGCTATGCTCTTGGTCTGTCTTGTTCAACTTGTGTTGGTTCAACTGGTTGAAGGAATTTGGACCAAGGGTTGCATCTTTATACGTGAATGTGAGTCCTCATTTCTACCGGCAATCTTGCTTGGTGGTCAATCCTTCTTGAAAGATCCCTTTATGGTGAAGGAATAGCTGCGTAGCCTTCTCTGGGGATCGAAGATCCTCCTGGAGATAACCTTTTGGTTTGACCTTTTGCTTGCTCCTTTAGGTTCTTAAACATACCATTTGCACTTTGAATGGTAGTCTTAGAGGTTACTGTTGGCCACTTCTTTTGTCTGCTTTATTTATTGAAAAGATCCCAATTCATTGCTTTTAAATGGGTTGCCCAGTTATCTTTTCTTTGATACCAATGATATGTATTGCTGTGCTGCTTACAAATTATGGCCGTGTGGAAAATAATTCCTTTTCCATTGCACTACATTTGGGATATGAAATATTTATTATATTCCTGCAATAATAACTTAATAACAGCTATTTCTTTATTATTAATTTCCATTTAGGGACACATGACATTTCGCATTTAAAAAGTTATTTGTTTCATTCCATCCCCTTTCCCCATAAGAAAGGAATAGTTGCAACTTGCAATTGGTGCTATACTTTTTCTTGTTATAAGTCCTTGTTCCCGTTCAGAATGCTTATCTTCTTGCTCATATATATAGTACACTGGTATTTTGCAGTCCCCATTCATAAACAGGTATTACGGAAAGGCTCATGAGGTTCTGTGATTGACCCCAAGACGAAAATGGCAAAAAAGTTTGCTGGCTTGTCTTGCCTACTGCGACAGGGATTTTGTCTTTTATAAAGTTCAGCAGGCAACTACCTTGTCGCATCCGATTTTCCTTGTGACAATAGGTTTCTTAAGGAAAATACGATGCAACAATGTACCTTAAAAGTGAACAAAAGTAGGAGTTAAAGTTAGGAGGAATATGAGATCTGTTTTGAGATTCCAATTTGTAGAGAAGTTTGATTCCCAGGGGCTTCAATTTCAGTGGCTCTTGCCTATCCTTGTTAGGCCAGAGATCATTCTTTTTCTTCCCATTCATAGTATGTTGTACGACGTTTATTTAGATGCTGCAAAGGGAAATGAATTTATTTCCTGTTCGTTTTATGTGGTTGGACTCCATCTCAACACTTCTGGACTAGTCATGTAATGGATAGGGGGCTAAGAAAGCTTCATCCCTTGAATGGGCTACAGTTCCCCTTGACGCTAGTGAATTAGCAAGCACTTTCATTGGTTCAATTTCGTTACGTCTACATCCAAGTTATGTGCGCTTCTCATAGTTGTTATGCACTGAGTTGGAAAGGGAATGAATTGTTATGTAACATGGAAGTGTAATTATAGGATAAACTTTTTTTTTAATTTGTTGCGAGTGATGTTCGAATTATAATTATAAACTTTATTATGGATGGCAGTAAATGTTAGGTTCTAAACAAACAAAAGCATAGTTGATTGTCCATGATGTTACTAATAGCCATTTGAATACCTAACCCAGTTAAATGGTGCTCCTTCGATTTTATTTATGTATTTGGAAGAAAAAATCTATTTATTATGTTTGCAAGTCATTAATTTTTTAATATAAATGCATTATTTTATTTATTATTTATTATTGTGTAGAGTATTACTTTATTGGAAAAAAACACATTAAATAAGGATATATTTGAAAAAGCTGTCAAATTAAGATAGAATTAATGAACTTTAAAAACTTTTTTTTTATTTGATGAAATATATATATTTTTCTGATACAAAAGAGAGCAGAGCTTAACAACAACTAAAAGAAATCAACTAGGGGAAATGAATCCCATACGCTCAGAAGTCACTTTGAAAGTCCTTCCTTAGCTAGATAGTCAGCGACCTGATTCTTCCTTCTAATAAATCTAATATCCAGGTTCCAAGGATGTCTAATGAGATTTCTAATTCGTGTCAATAAAAGACAGTTATTCTCGACCCGTTCATGATTTGTTAAGATATTGACCAGGTTTAAGGCATCAGACTCAAGAATGACTTTTCCAAAGCCCATATCCCATGCAAGTTGCAATCCTTTATAAATGGCCCATTTTTCAGCTTTATACAGGCAGCAGTGGCCGAGATACTGTGTGAAGCCAGCCACCCACCCAATTGCCATTATGATCTTTGAGTACACCCCCACAAGCTGCTCTGCTGGAAGAAGAGGAAACAGCCCCATCCACAATCAGTTTGATCCAATTTACCGGGGGTGGTTGCCATACTTGAGGGCTTTGAGAATCAGCCCCGTTGTCTAACTCATCACTATTGGTTTGGACATAACTTCTCCAGCAACTAAGGATAAGGAGAGCAGGTTCCTCCGGTTTGACAAAGTTCGAGTCAAAAGTCACCTCATTCCTCCATTTCCAGAGTTTCCAAATAGTGATTCCCCATATTAAATTCCAAGTGTTATTATTACCAATTCCGAACTCTCTCTTGAGATTAAGAGCGAACCAATCTTTTTGGGAGGCAGAAAAGAAATTAGCATAATACCTGGGATTAAGAATTTGTAGCCAAAGTTGACGTGCATAATCACAGTCTCGTAGTATGTGCATCATATCTTCTCTCGCTGCCTTGCAATAAGTGCAAATTGGAGATGTAGAGGACCAGGTATTTCTCCACGCATTGGTAGGAAGTCTATTATTAAAAGCTATCCACATAAACACTCCAACTCTTTCAATCCCTCTTTACTTCCATATGACTCTATAGACATTCTTATGTGGAGTCTCAGTGTACTCTTCCAGCATATCATAAGCACTCTTCACAGTAAAGGAACCATCTGGAGTGGCATTCCAGGATAATAAATCTTCTCCAGCTTCTATCATTGGAGGTAATTTGGCTATCAAATTCTGAATGATGTTACTCGGAATTATGGTTGACAAGCGTAGATAATCCCAAGTACCATAAGCCACCTACTCTGCTACTTTGCTCTCTTCTTCTTCTACCGAGAGGGGTCTGAGACACAGCTCCCTAAGAGCCTTATCAGGCAACAGCCACTTGTCAGTGAAGAAGTTAATTGATTGTCCATTTCGTACAGTCCAACTGGAGCCCCTATCCACAATATCTTGCTGTTCTGAAATAAATTTCCAGATACGAGAATCCCCCCTGTGCTTTGAGTTAAGAATAGAATTAGAGCATATGATAATGGGCCACCACCACAGACCAGGCAAGGCGGTCTCAAAATAAAAAGCAATGATTTTCATAACATAAATTCAGACATTACATCACCAAAAAATTACAATACAGCCTTTATTTTACAACGTTCGACGGATAAATAAACATCACCTCTATGAACTCTTGCTTAGAAGAGGACCACTTCAAACTTGCACATGGCCCTCCACGAAGAGAAAAATTAGCGATACAGGAACTAATATCACAGCCTTGGGCAAAGACAACTTATGTCTGCTTGACTCACTACTACCAATTTAGCTCAGAATCAAGCAAAAAGACATGCCTAAGCCCAACAAAACTAACTCGAATCTGTCAAATGCTCAGTCACCTTCATCATAAAATGATCTTTCCAATGAACCAAGCCAGCGAAAGGCAAGAGACCACAGAATAGAGGCAGAAATACCAGCAAGGAAGCGTAGAACAGGAATCTTCGGAACCAATAAGGAATTTTGTATCACCCTTTCTTGTTTGTGTTGCAGTGACAGGTTCATGGAGGATTTGGAACAAAACCGATGTGCAAACAATGGACAAGAAATGAAGCAAGCACAGAATCTCCCAATATAGGAGCCAGACATAACCATTCCCTCCCAACGTATCCACACACAGCTTGCCAAAATAGCCGCAAGCAACTCCTAATAGCAAAAGGATGAAAGTTACCGGCATTGTCTGTGTTGTCGATGCTGTTGACCGCCACATGAGCAAATATGCAACAGCACAGATCATTAGGAAGCCAAATGTCATCCTACTCACAACTTGAACTTGACACAACAAAACATTCATCCTTGAATTGAAAGAGGACACTGACCTAGGAGTCCACCAGGAGTATCCTTCCTAAAATAGAGAAAAGAGAATATCATCAATATTTTCTGAACAGGAAAAATACAGCTATTATATGCAGCTAAAATCACTATAGTTTAGTGCAATTTACATCTTGCTTCATATTAATAATTTGCATCACTATGCTTGTAAACAACTACAGATTACAAGAGGCACGATGATATTGTGAATCTTCCACCATTATACATGTTTACTAAGAAAATTGATACACAAATCAAATCAATCTAAAAAACCCTCGTTGCTGCTCTGGGGGGAAAAAATCAAAGAACAATCAATACTTTTTGTAGTTATTAATATAATGATTATGGTTACTAGCTAGCATGTATCCCAGAAAAGCTGCCTCAAATAGCATTCATGTAACGCTACCAGTATGATTTGAGAATTCCTATAGAAAGAAATTGAATTTATATCTCCCAACTCACATAAATGCTACACTATAGAATAATGAGTCCCAAAGACCAGTGAGCACACGTTAAAGCAACAAAGCCAGAACAAAGGGCATAGACATAGTACTCAATACTTGCCTCAGTCAAAGGTGCACAAGATGCAGTAGCTTCGGCAATCCGCTCATAAGAATAAACATAAGCACCGTACAAAAGTGAGGATGACATAACAAGCAGACCGGCAATAAGACAGTCAATGCACTTCTTACTTAGCTCACCATGTCTCAGATCTTCTTGCTCATTCTTAAACTTTTCTTCTTTAAAAGATTGTTTTGAGATTCCCATAGCAAGCTTTGATCTCTCCAGATTATTTTGAATCTGACTTGAGGTCCAAGTTTTTCTTTTGTAGTCCCAAATTTTTCCATCTGAAGGCCAAGTTCCATCATCTTGAGGTCATTGGAAAGACTTTGTTCCATGACAGATTTCTCAAGAAGACTAATATCGGAATTATTTATTATAGACCTTGCGGAGAACGGAGGGAGACGTGCCACTGGGTTTAATTGCCCAGGCACAATTAGACTATGACTAGCTGAATCCATAGGAATGCTCTCCTTGACCTCTTCAGAACTATTTGATTGATCCTGGATTCCAAGACGCATGACTGCCTCTGAACAAGCATTCTCCTCGACAGCATCCCCTTTGCAACCTCCTTTGTCAAGAGTCAATTCAGAAGTTAGAACTTCTCTCCTCAAAGTATCAAATTCACTTCCTTTCTTGCCTGTAGTTGATTCATAAATTAATCTAAGAGTATTCAGAGTGCTATCAAATGATTGTTCAAAGTTCCTTGTAAGACCATCCAGCTTGTCTCCAAAACCTGAAGTCAGATAGGCACCAAAACAAGTGGCATGCAGACGTTACACACAGCAAATGGTCGAGCTAAACATTAAAGTACAAGTAAAACAGAAATCAAGAGGTGAATCAGCAATAAACATGTGGCTTACATTGGCTAAAGATTCTCTGACAGCGGATGTGCACATCTGCAAGGTTCACAAACAACAGTCAATGTTCAAATCAAAATCTGATAAAATTAATTAGCATGCACCAAAA